GCAATAATCATAATCGAAGCAAATTTGTCCTCGAATATCCCGCCGCCGGGGGGACGCGAGGCACGAGTTTGCGCGAATCGATTGTTTTCTTTTTTTTTTTTTTTTTTTTCGAATCCGCGTGTCAACGTAGGAAACGTAGGAAAACAAGGAGAAAGATCGGTAACGCCGATGACAACGACGAGTACGACGCCAGGTCTGCCTGCAAGGATGGCAAGTGGTTTTCCGTAGATGAGCATCGAGTGGCTCGATATTCCATTTTGCCTGGTGCCTGGCCAATGTAGGTCAGCTGAGTTGGCTGGTTGACGCGAAACAATGCGGATATCCGTGAGCAAGTTAACCGCGATATCCTCTTCTTACGAAGGCAGCGGAACGGCAGCGAAAGGGGAGAGGAGGGAAGTGGCAAGATACTCGACACAGCAGCAGCGCGAGCAACGATAAAACGCTTGTCGTTTCCTTTTTGTCCCTTCACGTCTGCTTAGACCGCATCTTTGTTTACGCCAATCTCACCTCACGTGTCTGTCTCCACGTTATAGGATATGTATTTTACATCCGCATCGCGGTCTCTCCTTCCCTACTGCATTTTCACCTCTCTTTCTCTCTTTCTTCGTCTATTCGTCTATCTTTCTCTTTTTCTTTCTCCCTCTCATTCCCTCCCTTTCTTCCTGCTTCTTACACCCCTCGTTCTTATCTGCCCAGATAAGCTATCTCAAAACGACGCTTGAAACCTCGTGCAAACCTTTGCCACCTTTGGCACTCGAGTCTCGGCACTTTTTTTCTACCCTCCTGGCAAATCAATCAAGTGTTCCCCCGCTGTGACTCTACCGAGCCACTCTACCCACTCACTATCGCGTCGTTCGCAGAAAACCACGACCAGCGAACGCCCGTTCTACGGGAGATGGATAATACGCGAGGAACGAGTGGCTAACGAACGCGCTCGCATGCTCCGTTACGTCTCCTACGAGACGGTTAATTCACTTGACGCGCAAATGCAAACGACTGGACTCGAGTCGGTCACGCGTCGCTTTCAAGGTAAACCGGAAAACTCTGTTTCTCGCGCCGCCTTGCGGTTTCTTAACTGCGATCGTTTTTCTCATTACACGGACGACGGAGAGATACAAAGAGAAGGATAGAAGAGGATAACATGTAAAACGTGGAATGGAAAGCATAGCGCTGGAAACAACGCCAACGGCGGCAGGCAGACAAGAACAAGAAGTGGAATATAGAGAGATTCCGCCGGATAGAAAGAAAAGTCGGAAACGTTGCAGAAAGGGTCGCGAACGAATGATGTGAAACCTCGTGGAAAAACAATGCGAATGGAAGGGGGTTCTATACGTATTCTACGCGCATACACGCAGGAA